GTCAGTATTATAAATAGCCTGACTGTTGTCCTTTTCATTAAGAATTTCCTTAATACATAAATTTCCACAGTTCTGGATACACAGGAGAAAAACAAATGTAAATGCCTCAGATCCATCATCAAATGAGCTCACAGAAACTAACAACCACTACAAGTACTTAGCAAGTGCAGAAAATATGCATGAAACGATGTCTGAGAGGCTTAGCTGGTGTAATAACCACACTGAGACTTGGAAAACTGTCTTCAGTAAAGAGAACCACCCAATCACACATGCAGATTTTCTGTTCATCTTTGCTTCTTCTCCATTTTTCTGTTTGGTTTCCTCCACCTACACACAATATCTGGTTTCAGATAATTCCTGTTTGATATGGTATATTACTAAGAATATTGCAGATGTGCCTTGCCTGAATCTGGACCTCTGCATTTCACAGCATTGTAATCTTACTATAATTCAATGTTGTAAACCCTCAAAATACAATCCCAGCTTTCCTCCTGTTGCCTTGGCTGTATATTGTAGTGAGACCTTCCTAAAACACAGAGTAGAGGGGTGTACCCTCAACCTCTTCAGCCACTCTGCTGTCAGCTTGTTGCCTCCTTTCTCTTTTGAACCTTTTACTTTTCCTCTACTGGCAGCTTGGGTGAAAGATGAACTGTTTTTCAGAAAGTGTGGATGTCCCATCCCTGTAACTGTTTAAGGGCAGGTTGGATAGGTCTTTGAGCAATCTAGTTTAGTAGAAGACAGATATGCCCATGGCAGGGAGGTTGGACTAGAGGATCTTTTAAGGTCTCTTCCAACCCAAACCATTCTGTGACTCTATGGTGCAGGTATCACAAAGTCCTGTGATATGAATCCTCCACCCACACATCACAGTGAAGCAAGCCACTATTGAGCTTGTAGAGGAAATGTTAAACATACAGAGTTTCCCAGCAATGATCCAGATGCAGTGAAGCTTGTGTAATTAAGCATTAAGTGCAGGTAGTCTACTGATCTGGTCTGAGAGCTGCAGCATTTAATGGAGGACAGTATTTCAGATTTGTGTCTCTGTGTGAGGTAGTGCCCTTAAGCATTACATATTTGCATTATCCATTAGGCAGAACATATTTTGCCATAACCTGGCAAAAGTTTCAGAAGCTGCTTTGAAGACAGCAGTGACAGGAATGGCAGCATGACAACGCACTAAGGAAGACATGGATGCTGAGCTTTTTTTAGTGGCAGATGCTCACTGCAGAATGGTGTTTCTAGGCCAGAAATGCAACCCAGGACTGCAGGGAGTAATCCATCCAACTTCACACTTTGCATGTATCTGAGTTCAGAGACAGGCTCAATAGACAGGGGGAAGAATAATGCCCTTCCCCAGCCTGAGCAATGAAATACATAGCACTCCTCCATGCACTGAAATACAGAGCACCTATATTGACTCTGCAGGGAGCCTGACACTAACCTCTTTGAATAAAACAATGTATATGTCTCATTGGTGATTAAAAACACACATGATGTGAAAGGTCCAGAATTTCACAAGCTTCCTACCTGTGGAGAACAGAAAGAACTTGCTATTGCTGTTCAGATTTAGACTCAAGTCACCATAACTAATTGTCCCAGGAATTTTTGGATTCATCAAATATTGCTGCAGTTGTCTCAGACAGGTAAGTGACTTCACTGAGAAACACTGAAACAAATACAGCTATTTTACCTTGTACTTTTCAATGAAATTATGCTCAAATGCAAAGTCTCAGTCATAAGGTACATATTCTCTGAGGCAGTGCTTTATGCTTTCACCACATTTTTGCAGGTAGCATGCCTGTGACAAAGTATTATACTACATTACTCCACTACAAAATGTCTTAGGCCATTTTTAAAAATGAACAATAACAAAGCTCTAATCTTAAAGGTATCACAGAATAAAAACATCTTGCTCATGTTGTTTAAGTTTTTATGTGTCTTCAAGGTTGTCTGTGGCAAGCCCATCTTCATAAGATCACTTTTAAATTAGTTTCCTCCACCATACAAATGGGCTGGAGTCACCTTCTACTGTCACTCACTCGGATGCCTACTCTGGTTAGTATACGATAAGGCTTGCAATGTGATTTTTAAATCATTCTTAATATTACAATGGTATTACTTTTTTACTTGAATTTCTTTCAGAGCTTAGTGAGACTCATGTGACAGAAGTATTCTTCACACAAAAAAAAAAAAAAAAAGAAAAAAAGGTAAAAATATTACCTGATACTTCCTCCTCAACAGGATTTGGAAAAACAATGCATAAATCTTTAGTGTTATATGCCAACGACCACATACCATACATACATGGTTCTTCTAGAACTAGGGAATGATATTTTGCAGTATTTGGAAACTGCTAAACAAGTTCACAAAATTTCTGTGTCAGCATAATCATTTAGTTGTCATAAAATTTTTATTTTCTCTCAAAAGAAAGCAAATAAAGCAGCAAAGAAAATACATCAAAATTCCATGAAAGCATTGTACTTTTATTTCAGGGGCTATCACTAAACCAAATTTCCCTTATGAGATTTTTCCTTTCTGACAGAGTTTGGGCTAATACAAAGACCTCTTGAAAGGAGATACCCAGAGATCTGAAGTCCTTCTTTTTCAGTCCCTGTGGGATTTTTCTGCCTACACTTTGCTCTTGCAAGAGAAAACTGTTCACCTAGATGTGTAACAATGACAGCCCCTAGTGGAGCGCACTTATGTCCACAGCAGCCTTTCACAAAACCTCTTCCACACGCACTGCTGGACTTGCAATACATAGAGGTACATTTTTCTACAAACAATATGGCAACCATTCTTCATTTTTCATGCACTCTAGCCAGAAATTAGCTATGCACCCTGTGTCATCAAGTTTTTTTTATTTTTCTCTTGTCATAATTTTCAGACTTACTAATTATATTTTCCAGTTACTTCTTTTTCTGAAATGAAAGTCAGTATAAGGTTTCATTGCTTTTATCATTATGCTAATTCATAAGTTTTAAAAAAATCTACTTGTTCTTTGTTTTCACTTGAAGTGTTATAGCATGACTTACTGCCAGATGCTTACTCAGATGCTCTGAGATGGTTTCTACATAACTAGAGCTTTAGACAGCAGGTGCAGCTGATCTTGGAAGCATCCATTTCTCATCCAGCTGAGTCTCCTTGCCCTGCTCCAGTGTCTCTCAGACACTCATGGTCTCCTTGAGTTTGTCCCCCAAGAACAGAGATCAGCAAGCTTGTGTCTGCAGTAGGGGCTGCTCCTGAGGAAAAGAACCCAAGGCAGAGGTGGAGTTGGGCAGGTAGAGGAGGGACTGTGGATGGATTGCCTTACACAGAGTGAGGAGGAGGTGGTCTCTCCAGTGCCTCCCCTCCCTGAGAGCATCCCTGTGTCCCTACAGGCTACCACATGCAGAGCACATCCCCCGGCTGCATCAGCCGTTTGGGCAGGGCTGCTCCATATCCAACTCACGTAGCACGGCTGGAGGCCATGAGCAGAGCTGGGGCTTCACACCCCTCCTGAAGGCATGAGTACTAATCCTGACCCTGAAGGGAAATAAAGAGATGCACCAACGTGCCCTGGCACAGAGCAGCAAGAGTCTCTGTCCGCTGCCTCACCAGGCATCGTCTCGCAGTGCTTATCCCAGGAAGGGGAGTGAGGCCTGGGGGAAGCATGCAGGGTGGAGTGTGAACACCAGGAAGGCTGAAGGCCATGCAGTGGCACCGTAGCAGCTGAGGCAGCACAAAGAGCTTCTGCACCAGGCAAACATCCCCTCACCTTTCCTCTTCAGCCTGGGGCCTCTGTGCCAGGGGCCTGAACCTTTGCCAACAGCTTCTCTTTCTCCTGGGGATGGGGTGGGATTGTCTTAGCATGGGTAAAACATGTATTCCAGTTGGAGAGGATCACTTCTGAAGTGTTTCAATTGGAAGTTAGTGCATTCTGTATTGTGCCTACTTGGCCTAACAATTCATCTCCTAATTCTTAGATAGCAGAATAAAAATATATTATAAATATAAAAATACCAAGAAAACTATGCATTACCAGCATTTGCATTTTTCATATGAACAGCTGTCTAGGAAACATTGGCAATGTGCCTGTGACTGAGCTAAACCCATCCTCAGAGTTATAAAAAAATACTTAACAACCCTAATTACCCCCAATAGCAGTAAAGAAAGCATCTGTGACATGCTTTTTATTTAACTTTTTCACTTACTGGAATCTACAAATACTGATGGAATTCCTGGAACCAGAATGAAAAGCACAAATTTTGTTTTCCACAGAGAAACCAATCCTCATCTGGAACTGAACCTGCAACGAGTTCTTGGAGGAGAGGAATATTTCCAGACTCCCCAAACTATTATACCAACTGGCTGAAGGCACCTGCTGCAGCACTGCCAAGGGGTTTTGCACTTCAGATGTGTTCTCTGTGGGTATCCACACCCGTCGTAAAAGGAGGAGAAGGCACGGACAGACAATAAAACGGCTTTGTGCCACCAGCAACAGCAAGGTGTCATTTCAGCAAGCAGAAGTGCCCGGCCTAGTTAGGGGCCAGGGTGCGTGTGAAGTCGGATGGTGCGAGGCAAGGAGGGGAGATGGGGCCTCTGCAGCTACTCCTGAAAGCCCTGTCCTTCCAGGGACTAGTCAGAGGCTGGGCACTGCAGAAATCTGACACTAAACTGCCTTCTGAGAAACACAGTCTGTTCAACAGGCAGCAGCTTGTGGTTTGTGAGAGCAATTTAAGCAGCCATTAAAAGAAAAAAAAAAAAAAAAAAAAAAGCCCTTTTTTTTCCCCTAAGCTGACTGTCACTGACATTTCACAGGTTTTCCGAACATAGAAGAGTAAGTATTTCTGGGTATTAAGTCGTGGCCTCGTTCTATTTCTCTTCCCCAGGTAACAGGGAGCAGGTCAGCGTTCAGATCCGATCCCTTTAAAAACTAACCCGGTCCCGTCCTGTTAACTTCTTCTCCCATGCAAGCTGCTACGGGGAACAGAAGAAGTGACTTAACTGCTTTTACTTACGCATTTACTGCTTTAAAAATGCTTTCAGCTTTGAAAATCTTCTAAGCTTTCCTATCGGCTAACTCCTGAGAACTCCCCTTGGTTTACGCAGAGATTAGGGACGCTCCGCTCCTGAGGCAAGTGGGGGAGGCGGGAGCAGCGGCAGCCAGCAGAGGCGACAAGCTCAGCGAGATAGCCAATCAGAGGTGAACGCTGGGGAAGACAGCCAATCAGAGGGGAACGCTGGGAGAGACCGCCAATCAGAGGGCTGGATTGGGCGTCCCGAGCGGGCGGGCGAAGGCGCCGCGGCGCTGAGGGAAGGGCGGTCGTGGCGCCGTGAGGGGCTGAGGTGGGTGACCGTGGTTGGTAGATTTAAAAATATTTTATGCTGGCAGAAGTAACCTCATATTTCGTTTACCGAATGTGGTGATCCCTTGAGGCCTTGGAGAAAGAATCAAACTGCTTCAGACTATCTACACTCCTTCCCTTAGAAGGTTCCCTTCTACTTTGTTCTCTGTATGATTGTGTATACCTTATTGCCTGTTTTGTTTCTTTGCCTGAACCTACCTTTTTACTTCTCCTGCAATACTGTTCTCTGCCCAGACTCCTTTCAAGTAAACAACTACCCCCTAGTTACTTTTTCCTCCACCACAGAATGGGTTCAAATTCTATTACATCTACACCTGTAATTGGTATTTCCAAATTTGTTAGGTAGGCAGCTTTAGCCTCCTGTCATACATACGTGAAGATTGCCTTCTGTCACAGGTTTCCTTTATGGTCCTACAATTCACTGTTACTGAAATTCAATTGCATCATACACTTTTTTTGGTATTTTTATATATATATATAATATATAATATTATATATATATCTATCATATAATTATCTGACTTTTTCTTTGAGTCTTCTACCTATTTTCAATTAAGAAAAAGTACTGTCTTACCTTGTTCGGATCCCAGCTACAATATATCCTATTTTGCATTCACGCCGTGTCTCTAGCTTTGTATAGTTTTTGCCTCCCTCCTGGCTCCCCTCCGGAGCATCAGCTGAGTTAGAGACCTGGTGTTCCATCAGGGCCTCGTGCTGTCAGCTGGCCTATACAATATCTCCTTTTTTATTGTAAAACTGGAAACAGGGGGAAAGTCCTCTCTCAAATACTTGGGACAGTGAGACGTTAATAGTCTAGACAGTGGAATCAGTGCCTTTAAAAACTAATTTATCATCCATAAACAAATCACTGAATCAGTTAATTTAAGAATTACTTAAGGGAGATAATTTGTATTGTCTACCTTCACTTAATGGTTGTAGAGGATTTCTGAGAATTAAACACCAAGAAGCACAGCTAAAAAAAAAAAAGAAAAAAAAGCCCAGTTCTTTCAGATAAAAATCAAATGTTCAAGGTCTGCTGTTGGTCTCTTACATGCTTCCAGAGGAAGAATACTGAATGCTTTGTATAGCCTTCTGCTACAGGAAATTCAGTCCATGGTGCATGTGCTAGAAATTATGAAGCTATTCATGTTGGACCTCAAATTCAACCTCCTCTTTCAACATTTTGAGGTGATATAAAAAGTTTTTAACTGATCCATATTCTGTATGTCTTCCAGACAATTGAAATGTTGAAAACGTCACAAAACAAAATGTTTGCAGCTTTGAAGTATCACTCAACAGACTATTTATATGAGGTATGATTTTATTGTTTCTCTTAAAAGTCTGAACTAAATATAGCAAATTTTGTGAAATTGAGAAAAGATTATGCTAAAAGATTGAGTGCACATTAAAAAATATAAGAACTACTTTTTTTTAGAATTCTCTTTCAGAGAGGTTTTTGTGCTGCACTTTGTGGGATAACATAGTGAAGTGATTACAGGCTTTTTTAATAAAAAAAAATAGGTACAATTTTGCACAGACTGTAAAGCATCAGTTATTTTTAGTGTCTGTTGCATTTACTTACCATGATTTACTTATCATGCTCATGTAAGTTTCCTGCTTAGAGCTTTCTTTGGAGAATACACGATGCCTTCTAAAAAATAAAATTAATTACTTTCTGGAAAACTAATCCGACTTTCTAGCTACTTTGTTGTGTATTAGAATAGTGATACACAATGCTGTATTCCTTAATAATTGTAGGGGAATGTTTTTGCATTAAATTCATGTAAAGGAGATTTTTTTTTTCCCCCACACAATGACTGTTTTACAACCTCTTATCCCCAAAGTACTCTGTCATAACTAGTTTTTACTTATATTTTCAAAGAAAGGCCACAGACCAAATACAAGAGGAGCAGAGTGGTGCTTTGCCAGAAGGGGGCATTTGTAGTGTGTGAGCAGAAGAATGTAGCAAGACATGCCGCGTCCGGAGCTCAGGGAGGGTAGAAGGACCCACAGAAGCGCTCCTAGCACGTAGCTGCAGAATTGCAGCCTGGGAAGTGGTCCTGCTGTAGTACTTGAGTTGAGCTGCGATCCGTGTTATGGAACATTGCCCACATCCCTTTCCTTAGAGTGCAGCTTCTGTTCTGTGTTGTGCCTGTGTATGTCCCTGCTGTTTTCTTAGATTGCAGCAACCAGAACCTCTTTTTCTATTTTAATTCCAACAGTATGCAGTCTGTCATGCAGTGTGGATATCTTCCCAATGTAGTTCCATTCAGCTTGATCACCAGTTGTTTCCATGTTATCTACAAATAAAAAATAGGTGTGTTAGCAAAACATGTCATGGGGTATATGCAAAAGAGAATTACATGGCTTTTCTTGCCTGAGTTTTGAGGATGATGGTGCTGACATCAGGACTACTGAAAACTTCTAGAGAGAAATGCTGAGTGACCTGCTGAATGGCTGCTCTGGAGCAGTGTGAATCTTGCTCTGTGGCGCTACCAGAATGGGTCAATGGATGTGATGATACATTTAAAGGTATACAGATCTGACTGTGTAAGGGAGATGCTGTGCTCAAACTGCAGCTTCTGGTTCCACTCTTGTGCCTAGTTGCTCCCCTCTAGAAATAAAGTTACGTTGATTTTTCCTCTGTCAATTGCACTTGGCTAAAACTTCCAGCTTTTAGGAATTGCTGGAATGCAATGACCTTATATCAAACTGCTTCCTGCACACAGCTCACTCAACTGGATGCGGAATCCTGCTCCTAAAATATTTGTTATGCACTTATATCATTTCCAGGTATAGTTTTTCCAGCTTCCCTTTATAAGTATCTTTGAAGAAAGGAGTCTTTTCAGTCACCCTAGACACAAGAGTTACATACTTCATGCTCCTGAGTATTGTAGGTGTGATTGCAAAGTCATCTTGGTAGTGCAAGGTTTTCTAGTGTTATAAACTGACAATACAAGCAAACTGAGTGGAACTGGGATAATATCTTTCAGATGGAAGAAAAATGTCCAGAGACCTTCATATTTTCTTGATAAACAGGGGTAAACATGCACTGAGTGCTGTAGCTATTAATAATGGCCTTGAAAAACACTTTTATATATTTGAGAATGACAAGAAGGGGTGTCTTTATCAGTCTTATCAGACTTTTTAAAGTGAACTAATTCAGCTTAAACTTTACTCTTTGAACTGTTTCATTTAAAATATTTTGTAAAATGCACGATTTTCCTGGTTTAAGGTTGTTACTTGTGATGATAGCTCTAGGATGTATTTCTTCCACTTCACAAATATCAGTGACAGAAAACAATTTTAGCTATTAAGCTAAAGTTAGCCTCAGTGAAACTACATAGTGGTGTTTCAAATTTCTTTCTGATCTCTGTTTTAATATTGGATGTACTTATATGTTCAGTAGCTTCTACTTCTACAGTAGCAGTAGCATTCTTCTTTAACCTATGAGTCCTTTGACAACTTTTATGTGCCAATTCTGACAGCTTCTTTTAATGAAGAGAAGAGTTATCTGTAGCATTTCCTGTTATCTCTATTAGGAAACTGACGGCTGCCCTTTATTTTATGATAAATACAGTTTTTTCAGCAGTAAGTTCAATACAGATTACCTAAACTGATATATGGCCAGTAGTGTGTTAAAGACATAGGTCCAGCTGCCCATAGTTATCTGATTCTGCCTTCTTTATCCAGAATTTGTGAAAGAGATCAGTGAGGAAATGCCATGCTTTGACTTAGGCAAAAGGGACTCCATTGGATCAGATCTGTTTTTTCACAAGAGCCTTTCAAGGAAAAGATGCTACTGTGGCAGGAATTTTTGGTTTTTTAAATTAAAAATTAACTAGCATTTACAGAATTGTAACTATTCCACAAAGGATTAAATGGAAATGGAAAAAGGATTTGTATTGATGAAGTGACAGCATTTGTTTTCATTGCTTCCCATGTGTGTATTTGTTTGTTTGTCTGTGTTGTTTGTTGGTTTATTATGGTTTGTGGTTTTGGAGTTTTTTTGCCCCTAAGTTTTCTCTTTTTTTACAGGAAGGTTTGAAAAGTACACCAATAGCATGGTTATTCTGGTTGCAGTCTAAGTCAGTGAAATATTTCAAATATTTCTAGTTTGTCACCTGAGTTTTCTAACAGTACAAGTTATATTTGGCTTGACAGCATATGTTGGAACGGGTGGGCAGTTCTGGGAACTGAAGCAACACAGCTGAAGTGAGGCAATGGGTTTACATCTAGAGAAAAGTTTCTGATTTCATTCATTATGTTCTTCCACATGACTGTAGCAAGTTCTCTTTTCCAATATGCCATTTACTCCACAGACTTTTAAAGAACAACTTCTTTCTTCTTCTTTCTATAAACTTGTTAAACACAAAAGTCTAAGTATAATTTTTCTTTGCTTCCTGAACTCACTGGTTATTCTTTGTTTCTGTGCTCCTTCGTGGGTTTCTGTGACAAAAGAACTGTAAGATAGTTTATTGAACTTGGTATTCAGTGAAAAGTTACTAAACTTCCACGTAGACTATTTCATTCCAGAATTCAACTGATTACTGTCCCTGGTTTTTGAGAAAATGAAAGACTTTAAAAGGGCTTTCATTAGGTCATAATGACACATGGAAGACAAGAGGCCTTAGAATATTAAAAGCACTTGAAACAGAAGTAGTAGGAATGATAATAAATTGTTTCAGGTCGGCTAATCCATGTGTCCATTCAGGAGACCATTCCAAGTGTTAAAATAAGCACTTGTAATTGCACTTTCAAAGCTT